CAGTCAATAAAGGTAAGTGTCATTTATTCTTCATTTAGTAGAGTAGTACATGCACAATATATACTGTGCATGTACTACTCTACTATTGTGCATGTATCCTTCTCCTTGTGTGTAGGAAAATGTATATTTTATGTGGTAAAATTTTTTTTTTTCATACTTTTGGGTGTCTTGCACGGATTAATTTGATTTCCATTATTTCTTATGGGGAAAATTCATTCGCATAACGATAATTTCGCTATAACAATGAGCTCTCATGAACGGATTAATATCGTTATGCGGGGGTCCACTGTAACTCGGTGGGATGCTGAGCCTATGCCCTTAATAGATAGAGATCTACACAAATTTTATGACTCTTCCTTCTTTTCAGAGATTGATATTGCACAGGCATATCATCAAGTAATGTTAGATCCTTCTTCTAAGCAATACACCGCTTTTCCTACACACCAAGGACTGATGCAGTATAGAACTATGCCCTTCGGTTTGGTAACTGCCTGTGCTACCTACGTGAGACTGATGAGAAAGGTCGTGGGTAATATGCCAAATGTTTCAGTTTATTTTGATAACATTTACGTAATGACATCCATGTGGGGCGAACATATCCAAACATTAACATCAGTTTTGCGTAGGTTACGCTCACATGGCCTCACTGCCAAGCCGAAAGAAATGCTTCCTTGGGTATAACAAGATTAGATATCTTGGACTGATACTTTCTAATAACTCTCTGCAGCCTCTCCCCAGTAAGATCAAAGCTTTATTAGAATTTAAATTCCCCAAAACCAAGAAGCTCATGCGTAGCTTTCTTGGTTCTGTAAATTTTTATGCACGGTTTATCCCGAACCTTACTGATCTTACAGGCATCTTATCCGACTTCCTTAAAAAGTCTGTGAAGGAACATCTTGAACTTTCCGACGTAGCTCGGGGAAAGTTTAATGAGATTAAAATTATCTTTTCGAAAGACCCTATATTTAAGATTCCAGATATTATAAAACATTTTGTTAAGAACTGATGCCTTCCAATTACTGGCTTAGGTGCGGTGTTTACTACAATACCATGATGGTACTCCCTTCCCTGTATGCTTCCTAAGCCGGAAACTCCTTCCCGCAGAAACGAGATACTCCACCATAGAAAAGGAATGTTTGGCCCTTGTGTGGGGAATCTCCAAACTTAAATTTTATTTGCTGGGAAAAGAATTCATTTTAGAAACGGACCACAAACCTTTGATATACCTAGAAACTTTTAAGGGAACCAACAGTTGCCTCTTGAGGTGGACATTGGCACTCCAGGCTTTTAAGTTCCATATTGTGTATATCAATGGTTCATCCAATTACTTCTCTGACTGGTTAAGTCGTGACAGTCAGTAGAAGATTTCTAGCCTTACGCGACTTCCATATGTTAGAACTTTTTCCTCGCCTATTCTTCTTATACTCCTTGACTATAAGTCTTGGTATGGGGGAGTGTGAGGGAAAAGTTCAATAGATAGGAATAGATGTATGGTTCAGAGAACCGACATGTTGATAAATTAGACACATGTGCAACTCTTGGGTATCTTTATTGAGGAAACGTTTCGCCACACAGTGGCTTCATCAGTCCATACGTAGGAGAAACTTAAAGAACAGGAGGAGAATGAGGTAATTAGTCCCTCAACCTTGAGTCGATGTGTTCAGTCCATCAATCTTGAATTCAAGATTGATGGACTGAACACATCGACTCAAGGTTGAGGGACTGATTACCTCATTCTCCTCCTGTTCTTTAAGTTTCTCCTACGTATGGACTGATGAAGCCACTGTGTGGCGAAATGTTTCCTCAATAAAGATACCCAAGAGTTGCACATGTGTCAGATAGGAGTAGAGACGGAGTATATAGTAACAATAGTTTCATTGCCGGCTACTTGTTAAGGTAGGGTAAGTCAAGCTCCCGCTATTCCCGCCTTTTTTCCCCTCCCCGAAAGTGATAGTTTGACTGCCGGCTGCTTGTTAAGGTAGGGTCAGTCTAGCTCCCACTATCCCTTCCCCTCCTTCTTCCCCCCCCCCAAAAGGTGACGTGTGGAGCTCCGGTCCAAACAGTAATCACTAGACTCACAGCTCCCAGCACTACTGTAAGTACATGCCTGCCTTGTATTCTAGTGAATTTATTGGTTGAAAGCTTCACTTTTGACCAATAAACTTAGTCCTTTCAGTCTTGCTCTAGGTTGACTCTTGTAATCTTTTAGGCATTGTACTTATCATGGAGAGTGATTTCTTAAGCAGTGGGTAACCTGTCTATCTTTCCAGCTTGGATGACAGAGAGGGTCACCTGCCAATCAACGAGCAGAACTGATGGAGATGGACTAACGTCCTGAGACTTCCCCTTTTTGGATTTAATTACCTGTGCACCTGTATGAAATTGCAGGACGTAACCCCTCATCATTGCAGCAGTAAAGAACCTGCTTTCCTGTCATCGGGATAGAATACTCAAGGCTATACTGTGAAGAACGAACCGGTGGGTTGTAACCAACACCTGCACCCCCCCCCCCCATCATCAGCAACTGCTACGATTTCAACAACACTCAGTGTCACCAACACCAGACACCCCTATATATATTAGCGTTGAATTCAGTTATCATTTATGTTTTTAATTTTTCATTTTCTTTAATGTAGGATTAACATTTCATATTTAAGTGTTTTATATTTTCTATATAATAAAGTGTTTATGTTTGTCTGTTGTTATTTCTTTTTCTATTCACTAATTTTCCTGAGGAGGAGCCAGCCTTTGTAATACTGTCTGAAGTTGTTACAGGGCTGAGTAAGCCTTCACACCAACTAACACGCTCACGCATGCTTGCTGGAAGTCCAAGCCCCTCACACACAAAATCTCCTTTACCCTTTTCCTAGGCTGGCCCCTATGCAGCCTTCCCTCCACTACAGTCTTCCCTTTGCTATAGTCATTCTATTTTGTTCCATCCTCTCCAAGTGTCCAAATCACCCCAGCAACCCCTCCTCAGCCCTCTTGATAATAGTTTTGATAATCCCACACTTCCTCCTAATTTCCAAACTACAAATTCTCCACATTATATTCACACCACACATTGCCCTCAGACATGACATCTCCACTGAGTCCAGCCTTCTCCTCATTGCAACATTCACCACCCATGCTTCACACCCATATAAGAGCATTGGTATAACTATACTCTTGTACATTCCCCTCTTTGCTTCCATGGACAAAGTTCTTTGTCTTTACAGACTCCTCAGTGCACCACTCGCCTTTTTCCCCTCGTCAATTCTACGATTCATCTCATTTTTCACAGACCCATCTGCTGACACGTCTACTCCAAAATATCTGAATACATTCACCTCCTCCATACTCTCTCTCCAATCTGATGTCCAACCTATTGTTACCTAATTTTTTTGTCATCCTCATCCCCTTACTCTTTCCAATATTCACTTTTAATTTTCTTCTTTTACATACCCTACCAAACTCATCTACCAACCTCTGCAACTACCTGGAGTCTGCCTGGAGGGTATTCCGGGGATCAATGCCCCCGCGGCCTGGTCTACAACCAAGCCTCTCATTTTCTCTTCAGAATCTCCCAAAAGCACAGTGTCATCAGCAAAGAGCAACTGTGACAACTTCCACTTTGTGTTTGATTCTTTATCTTTTAACTCCACACCTCTTGCCAACACCCGAACATCTTTTTTCTCTTACAAGCCCATTTATAAATATTGAACAACCATAGTGACATTACACAGCCTTGTCCAAGGCCTACTTTTACTGGGAAATAATCTCCCTCTCTCCTACATACTCTAACTTGAGCCTCACTATCCTCATAAAAACTCTTTGCTGCTTTCAATAACCTACCTCCTATTCCGTACATTTGCAACATCTGCCACAATGTGTCCCTATCCACCCTGCCACATGTCTTTTCCAAATCCATAAATGCCACAAAAATCTCTTTACCCTTATCTAAATACTGCTCACCTATATGTTTCACTGTAAATACTTGGTCTGCACACCCCCTAACTTTCCTAAAGCCTGCTTGTTCATCTGCTATCCTACTCTCCATCTTACTCTAAATTCTTCCAATAATAACTCTACCATACATTTTAACAGGTATACTCAACAGACTTATTTCCCTATAATTTTTGCACCCTCTTTTGTCCCTTTTGCCTTTATACAAAGGAACTATGCATGCTCACTGCCAATCCCTAGGTACCTTACCCTCTTCCATACATTTATTCAATAAAAGCACCAACCACTACAAAACTATATCCCCACCTGCTTTTAACATTTCTATCTTTATCCCATCAATCCCAGCTGCCTTACCCACTTTCATTCTACCCACTGCCTCACAAACTTTCCCCACACTCACAACTGGCTCTTCCTCACTCCAAAGATATGAAGAAAAGAACTTTCAACAATATGTTTAAAATATTAACATACCACTAGTACAGGTTAGTTTAAATTATAATTAAGGTGCTATCACTTAATTTTAGTTATAAGAAGGGCAAGTCTCAGCTCACTGCCTCTCAATTACTCAAGAATAATCACACAGTATTTCTAGCTCATGGGTCTCATTATACCTACTTTTAAAACTGTGTATGAAATTTTCTTCCTCAACTTCCTTACATAAATCATTCCACTACCTAACTGCCCTCAGATTGCAGAAGTATGGTAAGGCACTTCTGATGCTCCTGTGGCTCATCTGTCTTTATTTACCTTCCAGTGCCCAGCCATCAATGAGCAGAATAACAAAATTATAAAATCAATTCCCCAAGTTCACATTACAGTACTCAATATTTTTACACTTCATAATATCAAGATTTTCTTGCACTGTCAAAGTTTATGGTTGTACTTTTTGCACTGCATACAACATATTCGATTTATGTGAAGTTGTGCTGTAAGGCGGCTTACTGTATGTTTCATTAAACTGGTACAAAATCCTTATTAAAAGAACTTACATGTTATTATGAATATGCAAAGCTATCATATTCAGTAAAATGATATACAACACATCATCATTTTACCTTGATGAAGAAGTCCTTAGCTTGGAATACTCGACAGCAATCTGTGTGCCAATCTTGGCATTATTCTCGATGAGGGCAACATCTGGATATGCTAAGGAAAACTAGTGTCCTCATAATATTTCTGACATTAATTAGTATGGTATAAGCAAATACATACATACATTCACATATGTATACACAAGTACAAGCTGTGCCATGGGCCACTACTGATACCTTCTGTCTTGCCTCAGAGAATTTTCCCTCCTATCTGTTACTGTCTTGTAACATTGCATAGCTCCTTACAACACATAAGAGTTCAAAAGATCTAGAGCTAAAGATTTCCATCCCATGTGGCTCTTCTTCATTGTTAACATTTTAACTGTGGGAGACCCTACAAAAAAAATTTGTGTGTGTACACTCACCTATTTGTGGTTGCAGGGGTCGGGACATAGCTCCTGGCCCCGCCTCTTCACTGATCGCTACTTGGTCCTCTCTTTCCCTGCTCCATGAGTTTTATCATACCTCGTCTTACACCTATGTATGGTTCCTGCCTCCACTACATCACTTGCCAGACTATTCCACTTCCTGACAACTCTATGACTAAAGAAATACTTCCTAACATCTCTTTGGCTCATCTGAGTCTTCAATTTTCAATTGTGATCCCTTGTTTTTGTGTCTATTACAACCCAGGAGTCCCAAAGGCCTGTTATCCTGGGTGTAAAGGGAGCAAAATAAACACAGCAGAAAAACTTTTGACTTGTATTATCCTTCACCAATTTAGAACAGAAGTATGTACACTATATACACTATGTACAACAACAGGCATTAGTGCACTCCACAGTAAGCAAGGCAGAATAGAAGCCACTAGAAAGCAGACCGTGCTTCAACCAGTTCTAGAATGGGAATGACAAGGGCAGACAGGTGAGTGGTACCCACAACACCTCTGTGATTGCCAAAACCATCTTCTCATTGGCTGGAACCTGAGTACTGATTGAACGACGGGGCCCCATCATCAACCCTTAGTACCTGATTTGCTGGTTGGGGGAGATAGCCTTTCAATGAGGGTGTGTACATGAGCCGAATAAAGGTTACATACTCTTTGCATGCCACAGTGTCCCGTATCTGAAGCATCCTGTCTCTGTCCACCTTGTCAATTCCTCGCAGTATTTTGTATGTCGTTATCATGTCTCCCCTAACCCTCCTATCCTCCAGTGTAGTCAGGTCAATTTCCCTTCACCTTTCTTTGTAGGACATTCACCTTAACTCTGGAACTAGCCTTGTTGAAGACCTTTGCACATTCTCTAATTTCTTGATGTGCTTGACCAGGTGTCGGTTCCCTACTGGTGCTGCATACTCCAGTATGGGCCTGACGAACACTGTGTACAGAGTCTTGAACAATTCCTTACTGAGGTATTAGAATGCTATTCTCAGGTTTGCCAGACGCCCGTATGCTGCAGCAGTTATCTGATTGATGTGGGCCTCAGATGTGCTTGGTATTATACTCACCCCAAGATCCTTTTCCTTGAGTGAGGTTTGCAGTCTTTGGCCACCTAGCCTATACTCTGTCTGTGGTCTTTGCCCTTCCCCAATCTTCATGACTTTGCATTTGGCAGGGTTAAATTCAACGAGCCAGTTGCTGGACCAAGCTTCCAGCCCATCCAGGTCTCCTTGTAGTCTTGCTTGATCCTCGTTTGAATTATTTCTCCTCATTAACTTCACATCATCTGCAAACAGGGACACTTCTGAGTCTATCCCTTCCGTCAAGTCATTCACATATACCAAAAATAGCACTGGTCCTAGAACTGACCCCTGTGGAACCCCGCTTGTCACAGGTGCCCACTCTGATACCTTGTCACATACCATGACTCGTTACCTCCTTGTCAGGTATTCTTTGATCCACTGCAGTGCCCTGCCTGTTATATGTGCCTGATCTTCTAGCTTTTTGCACTAATCTTTTGTGAGGAACTATGTCGAAAGCCTTGTGTGTGTGTGTACTCACCTAGTTGCGGTTGCAGGGGTCGAGCCTCAGCTCCTGGCCCCGCCTTTTCACTGGCCGCTACTCAAGTCACTCTACCCACTCTGTGAGTTTTATCATACCTCTCCTTAAAGCTATGTATAGATCCTGCCTCCACTACATCCCTTCCCAGACTATTCCACTGCATGACTCACAAAATCATAATGACACGATTGCAAACAAACCATACCACGGGCTGGGATAGAACCCACGATCAGAGACTCTCTGGTCGCAGGTTCTATCCCTGCCCGTGGTATGGTTTATTCCACTTCCTAACAACTCTGTGACTAAAGAAATACTTCCTGACATCCTTGTGGTTCATCTGAGTCTTCAACTTCCAACTGTGACCCCTCGTTGCCGTGTCCCATCTCTGGAACATCCTGCCTCTGTTCACCTTGTCTATTCCTCTCAGCATTTTATATGTCGTTATCTCGCGTGCACACATGCGTGCATGTGTGCGTGCGAGATAACGTGTTTCTCACCTTCTTTACCAAAGGGCTTGCACTCTGAACTTTCTTTGGCCCCACGATAGCTTATTTCACATTTGCACTCAATAAACAAGCAACAAAAACAATGGATGAACATGCGGATTATCACTCACTCGACAAGTGACAAAAGCTGACTGAGTCAGGTGACGGTGTCCCGGGTGGGCGGATGTGTTTGATACGGACAATTTCTGAGTCGATTTATGAAACCCGGAGTAAAAGTTCGCCGAAAAATGTGGTTGAAATCCAAACTGTACGATATTCGGACCGGACAAAAACTGGAGTTTTACTGTATATATACGTGGAATGACCATTTTTTTTTTTTATATTTTGGTCTTCTAAGGAAGTGAAGAAGTGGGGCCAGAAGCTGTGAGTCGACTCCTGCAACTACAAATAAGTAAGTACATACTATCACCTCACACACACTGACACCTACACACAATACACACAAACATGCTCATAGACAGAGACATACACACATGAACATTCACACACACCACACACACAACAACACACACACACACACACACACACACACACACACACACAAAAACCCCACACAAAACACACCCCAACACAGTCGTAGAGAACATTTCGTAGGGGCCAGAAACAAAATATGCACAGATAAGAAGGGAGGCCCAAAGACAATATGAAAATGACATGCAGCGAAACCCCAAATCTGACCCGAAACTGTTTGTACAGCCACATCAGGAGGAAAACAACAGTCAAGGACCAGGTAATCAGGTAAGGAAGAAAGGAGGAGAGACAACAAGAAATGACCGTGAAGTATGTGAAGAACTCAACAAGAGATTCAAAGAAGTGTTCACAGAGGAGACAGAAGGGACTCCAGAAAGACGGAGAGGGGGGGCACACCACCAAGTGCTGGACACAGTGCACACAACCGAGGAAGAAGTGAAGAGGCTTCTGAGTGAGCTAGATACCTCAAAGGCAATGGGCCAGATACAACTCCCCCATGGGTATTGAGAGAGGGAGCAGAGGCGCTATGTGTCCCCCTAACAACAATATTCAATACATCTATCGAAACGGGGAGATTGCCTGAGGCAGGAAGCCCAGCAAATGTAGTCCCAATCTTTAAAAAAGGAGACAGACATAAAGCATTAAACTACAGACCAGTGTCACTGACATGTATAGTATGCAAAATCATGGAGAAGATTATCAGAAGAGTGGTGGAACACCTAGAAAGGAATGATCTCATCAACAGCAGCCAACATGGTTTCGGGGACGGGAAATCCTGTGTCACAAACCCCTACTGGAGTTCTATGACAGGGTGACAGCAGTAAGACAGAGAGAGAGGGGTGGGTGGATTGCTTTTTTCTGGACTGCAAGAAGGCGTTTGACACAGTTCCACACAAGAGATTGGTGCAAAAACTGGAGGACCAAGCAGGGGGTAACAGGGGAAAGGGACTACAATGGATCAGGGAATACTTGTCAGGAAGACAGCAGCGAGTCATGGTACGTGGCGAGGTGTCAGAGTGGGCACCTGTGACCAGCGGGGTCCCGCAGGGGTCAGTCCTAGGACCAGTGCTGTTTCTGGTATTTTTGAACGACATGACGGAAGGAATAGACTCTGAGGTGTCCCTGTTTGCAGATGACGTGAAGTTGATGAGAAGAAAAACACTCGATCGAAGACAGGCAGAACTACAAAGGGATCTGGGACAGGCTGCAGACCTGGTCCAGCAATTGGCTCCCGGAGTTCAATCCCACCAAGTGCAAAGTCATGAAGATTGGGGAAGGCAAAGAAGCGCAAACGGAGTACAGTCTAGGGGTCAGAGACTACAAAACCTCACCAAGGAAAAAAGATCTGGGTGAGTAAAACACAGGCACTCTCCTGAAGCGCACATCAACAAAAAAAATGCTGCAGCATAAAGGCCCTAGCAAACTCAAACAGCATTCCGACATCTTAAAAAAGGAATCATTCAGCCCGTACCCGTGTAAAGTTTGGCCCATAATGGAGTATGTTGGCACCCGTTGGAACCCACACCCAGCCAAGCACTGAAGAAACTAGAGAAAGTGCAAAGGGTTTTCAACAAGGGCCTAGTCCCAGAGCTAAGAGTATGTCCTACGAGAGAGGTTAAGGGAAATCAACCTGACGACACTGAGGACAGGAGACATAGGGGGGACATGATAATGACATACAAAATACTGAAGGAATTGACAAGGGGGACAATGACAGATGTTCCCGAGATGGACACAGTAACAAGGGGAAACAGTTTGGAAGCCCGAAGACCCAGTGACACAGGGATGTTAGAAGTATTTCTTCAGCACAGAGAGTCAGTAAGTTGGGAAAAGTTGGGGAAGGATGTAGTGGAGGCAGGATCCATACATACTAAAGCAGAGGTATGATAAAGCTCCGGCTCAGGGAGTGACCTAGTGCGATCAGTGAAGAGGCAGGGCCGGAGTCGGACTCGACCCCCGCAACCCCAACTAGGTGAGTACACACACACAACACCCACAACGGGATGTTCCCGAGAAGGGACAGACACAGAGGTCCATTGAAGCTGAAGGACTCAGATGAATCAAAGGGATGTAGGAAGTATTTCTTCAGTCATAGAAAAGTCAGGCCATGGAATAGCTAGAAAGGAC